GAGAGTTTTCCAAACTGCATATAGAAGTAACACACTGTATCCTATGAGAGAATTAATGTACACAATTATGATCTAATAAAAAACAAATAAAAAAAAAGAATAAAGGGAAACACAAAAATAAACAAGGCACAGTCCCTGCCTTCACTAAGAGTTCAGAAGAAAAGAATGCCAAATAAACATTTAAACATCATATCTTAAATGATAGGCAATAGGCAACTATTCCAATGATGGCAGGTTGAAGGGAAACTTCCTAGAAGCTGAGACCTTAAGAAAGAGCACACCTGTAGTCCCAGCTACTCAGGAGGGTAAGGCAAGTGAATGGATCGAGCCCAGGAGTTTGAGGTTGCTGTGAGCTATGATGTCACAGCACTCTACCCAGGGCAAAAAAGTGAAACTCTGTCTCAAAAAAAAAAAAAAAAAAAAGAGCAGAAATTAGCCAGGTAAAAAACTTCTTCAAAGAGTATTCCAGGCAGAGGAAACAGTATGTATAATGCAAAGACCTGGAGGAGAAAAAGAGCAAAGCATGTTCGAAGTAATGGTAGAGTTCAGTAAAACTAGAGCTATGCCAGAAGAGGGAGCAGTCTGGTGTCATACAAGTAAAGAGAAGGAGTTTGGCTTTCTTTCTGAAACAACAAGAATCCATTAAAGGGTTTTAAACAGAGACATGGGACAAGAAGCAAGGCAACAAATCTGTGCTTCAGAAGGATCATATTTGCTATGGTATAATGGCACAGGAGTGAAACCTCTGAGGAAACTATAATGCACAGAAAGATAAGGGAAAGAAAGGCTATCTATGCAGACTAAGTGAGCAGGTAGTGACTAGCCTAGCAAGGGTCACTCATAATCTCAATTCACTCTATACTGAAGTCAAGAGACAAAACCAGGGGTCCTCAAACTTTTTAAACAGGGGGCCGGTTCACTGTCCCTCAGACCATTGGAGGGCCGGACTGTGGGCCCTGGGATAAGTCAGCTGCTAAGTAGGACAGGCAGCAGCACCAAAAACACCCAGCAGGCTAGATAAATGTCCTAGGCAGGTCACATGTGGCCTACCGGCCATAGTTTGAGGACACCTGGACAAAACACTCAAATCCCTAGCTGCCCAACTCCTCCTGAGCTTTATAGTAGGTAGGAAGGAAGAATCAAAAGAATGAGCACATAAAGGGCTATCTCCCCAAACTGTTGAAACTATTCAATTCCAAGGACAAGTCTGGGTGGGACCTTGGAGTTACTTTGGATTAGGCTAAGCTTTGTTTTGTTAGTTGAAAAACAGAATCTTCTCCATTTGTGTAGAGTTGGGGTGACTCTAAGACATTGAGGGTAGTCTCCTTTGACTTTCCATAGTGGGCCATGCCACCACCTAGCCTTGCAAACTGGCCAGAGAAAGTGGCTGCTATGGTTAAGAGAGTATTCCAGAGTCATAAGAATCTCTATATTCTCTAACATTTCACATTAGGATTCATAACTATGGGAACATTCAAATACAACCAGCATGTCAAACCTGCACCTTGTCTATGACAGACTTCTCCTTTGGCTTCCTTTTCCACCTTCAGTTCAACATGCAAATGCAAGCCATGGACATCTGAACTTTAGGGATTGTTGGATTCTGGGTACAAGAAAATTAGTTGAGCAGAGGAAGACAAATATCAAGAGGACCACAAAGGAAGATGATTAGAGTTGTATGTTTAATCCAGTAAAGAAAACCTCAAGCCATATAATGTGATCAGAGAGAAGCAGCACACAGAAAAGATGGAAAACTTCATGTAAGAAATTCCACAAACATAATTTGTTTTATAGTGCCTTTCCTTACTCCAACGCTGAAAAGATATTAATTTCTATTTTCTACAAAAGGTTTAATATTTTTTCCTTTTGATATTTAAGCCCCTATTTTATCCGATA